CACACTGAACTCCGGGGCTTCTCGCTCCTTCTTTCGAGACCGCACCACACTCACGCCGCTTGGTCGGCCGGTTGCAGTCTCCCTGGCAGACCCCTCTGGGGGTCCTGTCCTCTCTCACTTCTCCACTGTCCTTCCGTGTCCGGCTGCCCACTCTGGCACGTTGTCTGGTCTTTACCTCCCCTTGTTCTCTACGAACTTGGTGAGTGGTGCTGACCTACAGGATGCGGGGGTTCACCAGTTTACTCCCACGAGTTAGCGGGTGACCCACTGCTCGGACGCTCGCACAGGCCGGCACCTAGCCACGTTTACGCGTTGGCCGGGGTCGAGCCTGTACACCCTGACCACTGAGTTCCCTCCTGTCGCTGCGTCTGGTCAGGTAGCTGCGTCGGGTTAGGTGTTTGCTGCAGCGTCCAGGTCTGGTCCTGAGTGTGCCCCCTGCTCGTGTCGCCTCCTGTCTCACGAGACTCTCCTGTGGCACCACCGCCCTGGTCACCCCTCCCGTGTCCTTGTCTCTGGTCTTCCCCGGTCCCTCCCTCCCCTTCCTCAGGGGCCTGGCCCTTCCTGCGTCCCCTGTGTCAAGGGGCGGCTGCGTGCTGCCCCTCACTCCTCTCAGTTTCCCCTGACAGAGGCCCCGCTGCAGACGCTTCACATGGACGTGTGGGGCCCGTCCCGCGTCCGTGGACAGGGTCACGAGCGCTACTTCCTGCTAGTGGTTGACGACTACTCGCATTACACCACAGTCTTCCCCTTGCGCAGCAAGGGTGATGTCACTGAGGTGTTGATCAATTGGATCCGCGCAGCTCGTCTCTAGCTCAGGAGGAGCTTTGGCTCGGACTTTCCTGTTCTACGTCTGCACTCTGACCAAGGCGGAGAGTTCTCCTCTGGCCTTCTGCGAGCCTACTGTCGTGCGCGAGGCATCCGCCAGACCTTTACGCTTCCGGACTCTCCACAGCAAAATGGGATTGCTGAGCGCCGCATTGGCATGGTCATGGACGTCGCTCGTACGTCCATGATGCATGTGGCTGCCCCCCATTTTCCGTGGCCGTTTGCGGTTCGGTACGCGGCACATCAGATCAACCTTCACCCCAGGGTCTCCAGACCGGAGACCTCCCCACCTTTGCTGTGGACGGGGAAGGTCGGCGATGCGTCTGCGTTCCGTGTCTGGGGATCTCGGGCGTTTGTCCGCGACTTGTCTGCGGACAAGCTTTCCCCTCGTGCTGCTCCTTGCGTCTTCCTTGGCTTCCCCCCTGACGCGCCAGGGTGGCACATCTACCACCCCACCTTTCGTCGTGTTCTGTTCTCCCAGGACGTCACGTTTAACGAGCTGGTCCCCTACTACCGCCTCTTCCCCTACCGCACTCCTTCCCTCCCCCTGCCCCCGCTCTTCCTTGTGCCAGGTCCCCCCCAGGTAGACCCCCTCCCCCCTCAGGGTCCCGCCCCTTCAGGTGTGTCCTAGGTTGACGCCGTCGAGCCTGTCGAGGTTACTGGTGACTTTGGTGCTGCTGCGGGTGCTGAGCCTGGGGGTGCTGACTCTGGGGGTGCTGCGCCTGGGGGTGTTGAGCCTGGGGGTGCTGAGCCTGGGGGTGCTGAGCCTGGGGGTGCTGAGCCTGGGGGTGCTACGCCTGGGGGTGCTGAGCCTTGGGGTGCTACGTCTAGAGGTGCTGACCCTGGGGGTGCCACGTCGGGGGCTGCTGAGCCTGGGGGTGCGGAGCCGGAGGCCACTGGGCCTGCTTGTGTGGCGTTTGGCGGTGCTGGGCCTGGAGGTCCTCTGGGTGCTTCGTCTCGGCAGGAGCCACTCTCTTCACCGGAGTTGTGCGAGTGGTTTTCCCGGCGCTGGAGGCGTGCTGCTGGAGCTGGAGTTTCTTCGGCTGCTGAGGGTGCTTCTGCCGCCGGTCCCGGAGGTGCTCGGGATGGTGGATGGGCATGGTGGATGGGCATGGTGCATGGGCATGGTGCATGGGGGCGTTGTCCAACAGATAAGCATCTGAGATCTGAAAGCACGGGAGAACAGCACGTACAGGTGGGTGAGGGCGGTGAGAGGGGCGCATACAGGTGGGTGAGGGCGGTGAGAGGGGCGCATACAGGTGGGTGAGGGCAGTGAGAGGGGCGAGAGATGGAATGGACCCCACCAGATCAAGGTAAGACAGATCGCTGTGGGCATACGAGGGCGGGAAGGAAGCAACAGTGGGAAAGGCAATGGCATGGAAGAATGGACCTCTTGAGATTTATGGCCAAGATAAGGTCTTAGTTCTGGTGAAATGAAACCATTCGAGAAGCGAGGCATGGAAGGGCAGGGGGAGGGGATGGGTTCTGACGTGTGGAAGGAGAGGAATGAGATGGAAGGACGCAGCATGGCGCCGGTGGGACAGGCGTGAAGCATGAGAGCACGTGAAAGAACAGGAGCAAGCACGCACACGTTGTGCTTGGCAAACGAAGGAAGGACTCGATGGATGTGGTGGAGGGAGAGTGTGGGTGGTGGAGGGAGAGTGTGGGTGGTGGAGGGAGAGTGTGGGTGGTGGAGGGAGAGTGTGGGTGGTGGAGGGAGAGTGTGGGTGGTGGAGGGAGAGTGTGGGTGGTGGAGGGAGAGCGTGCGTGGGGACGGACAGGTTTTGCAGATTGGCGAGGGTGGTGATGACGGCGGGTATGGTGACACTTGGTGGAGGATCCGATTCGGGAATCAGCTTAGCATCCCTGCCAGCACACGCAAGCAGCCCATTCAGAAGCAGTACGGGCAGCGCAACCATGAGTGCCTCTGCATGATGGCACAGTGATGAGTGCCTTTGCATGATGGCATAGTGATGAGTGCCTCTCCATGATGGCACAGTGATGAGCCGCGCCGCGGGCAATGAGCGCACGGACCGACAGTGAAGGGCGGTGAGGTGCAGTGCAGTGGACAGTGAGGGGCAGCAACGGGCAGAGAGGGCGCGGAGGTGAAATGAGCGGCGGGGAGACTGACAGGGCAGCGACGAGGCCTTGAGGGCTGCACGTGACGCCAGCCCATGCAGAGCACGCCGTGGTGGCGTTGCTGTTGCCCGCCCACGTGCCCCACGCCTCCTGCAGCTGCACCACCGCCTTCACTGCGGGATTCGGCACACGGGGTAAATGGAGCAGATTCGGGTGAACAGGCCAGCGCCCGGGAATAGGGCATCATGAAGCCATGAAGCCAAGACTGAAGCCAAGAAGCCAAGACTGAAGCCATGACTGAAGCCATGAAGCCAAGACTGAAGCCAAGACTAAAGCCAAGAAGCCAAGACTGAAGCCATGACTGAAGCCAAGAAGCCAAGAATGAAGCCAAGACTGAAGCCAAGAAGCCAAGACCGAAGCCAAGACTGAAGCCATGACTGAAGCCAAGACTGAAGCCAAGAAGCCAAGACTGAAGCCAAGAAGCCAAGACTGAAGCCATGATTGAAGCCAAGAAGCCAAGACTGAAGCCAAGAAGCCAAGACTGAAGCCATGACTGAAGCCAAGAAGCCAAGATTGAAGCCAAGACTGAAGCCAAGACTGGAGCCACAAAGCCAAGACTGAAGCCATGACTGAAGCCAAGAAGCCAAGACTAAAGCCATGAAGCCAAGACTGAAGCCATGACTGAAGCCACGAAGCCCATTTGTTTGGACTATCTGTGCTACGTTTGTTCTCAATGAAGCTGGGCGAGAAGGGCCTTGGCGTGCACGTGGCGGCGCGCAAGGTCCCTGCTTGAATGACGTGCCGTGAAGGGAGAGTATGGGTGGTCTAAACTACGGCAGTGCGGGATGATGGGAAGACGCGGGCCGCGAAGCAAGCTCGCTGGGAGGCAGCCGACTCACATTGCGAGTCTTCGAGAACAACAGGCCTCGCCATGGCACTCTTGGACCCGACCATACTAGGCGCGCTGGCGCCGGCGAGCTTTAACGAGCGTCCGGCGCGATTGACTCGGAGTCGAGGCAGGCGAGACGGGTGTTGTTTGGTTAGACGCCAGGCACCTCCAAGTTGGCGCAGCGGCAGTGCGCGGTTGGCGGCGCTGGGAACGGAGTATCCGGCGGCTGCGAGCGCGAGAGTCGCGAGAAGGACAATTCGAGCTGCTGCGACATTGGCAGAGAGTGGCCCCACAGGCCCTGAGGAACGGGGTTTACGCGTGGTACGCAAGATGCAGGCTGGTGTGCGACTCGTATTAGGATTTGTGGCAGGTCAGTTGTTTGGAATGCTGCAAAGTGATCTGCCTACACCCTCGCCAATTTCAATTCCCCCCCAATTTGCAACACGGGAGGGGTTTGTCTGGGGGGGGAGGCAGTGGGGTAGGCTGCGTAACTTGCAAATTGCAATCCTTGAACGGGTGTGATGGTGAAAGCTCCCTCGAGATTCCATATGGCTTGCGGAAATTTCGAAGTACAGTTTTATAACGTGTGCTCTTTGTGTGCTCTCTTTCATTCCTCACAGTGAAGATTCTCTTATCGTGTACGTACTTTCGCAGTTCCCATTACTCTCGCCAGTGTTGAAAGGGCTGTCGAGATCTTGCTCTTCTTTCTCGTTCTCTCCGTCCTTAGGATACTCCGACCACGTCTCTCACGCACATGCGATGTCGCGCGTCGCGACAGTCTCCCCCAGCCCGCACGACCTTTTGCATACGAGCCACGCGGGTATGCGCCTCGCGAGACTGCCGACTTCCGTCGTCGCGAGCCACGTGAACGCGATGGGATTTCATCGACGAATTATAGTTTCTGCCTCCTACCACGAGAGACCTATTTCCATTCCCAAGCTCGGCGTATCTCGGTCCAGTCATGAGCCTCAACATCGCCCTGTCTTCCCCTTTCGGGATCGTATCCGTTGCGAACCGCGCCTTCTCCCTCGAGCGTTTCCAGTGCATTGAGGGCCGTTCCGCGACTCGCGGATTCTATCCGGCGGCCGTTTCTTCCGCGAATCACGGGATTCGCGGCACGTCGGCGCCGGGCCTTCCGAAGGGAACTCGGCCGCTTCGTCTTCCTCGCCGCGCTTCACGGCGGAGAGCTCCGAGCGGCGGCGGCGCGATGCATATTGCCAACGCCGGTCTGCGGCGCGAGCCCGGAGCTACCAACAACAACGGGGATTGGAACAAGCATCCGGACGGCCACGCGAAAGTCGACTCGCCCACCATGGGGCGGGCAGAGGGGCGTGATAAGCCTATCAGAGGGGCTGACGATAACCGCACCGAGTATAACCGCACCGAGGACAACCGCACGATAAACGTTAGGACCGGAGGGCGGGTGCTGACCCCCGAGGAGCACTGGCGGCGCTACCGGCCGCAGCTGGCGACGCGGTACGGGCACTGGCGATTCTGGTTACCAGCGCAGGGGCGAGAGGCGAAGCTGTCGCTGGAGCTGCTGCGCGAAATCACACCCGCGGAGGTGGAGAGCGGTGCAGAGGAGTACGTGCTGCGGGTAAGATGCTCATGTCCCTACCCCTGTCCCTACCCCTGTCCCTACCCCTGTCCCTACCCCTGTCCCGGCCCTTGTCCCTGCCTCTGTCCCTGCCCCTGCCTCTGTCCCTGCCCCTGCCTCTGTCCCTGCTCCTGCCCCTGCCCCTGCCCCTGCCCCTGCCCCTGCCCCTGCCCCTGCCCCTGCCCCTGCCCCTGCCCCTGCCCCTGCCCCTGCCCCTGCCCCTGCCCCTGCTCCTGCCCCTGACTGCCCCTGGCGTTGCGGCTGTCCGTGACAAGCCTCCACGTCGCCAGCAAAAGCAGTGGTGTGAAGCCTGAACGGACCGAAAGAGAAGCCCTGGTTTGGACCCATACACCTCTCGTCACCCACTCTCCGCCACCCTCCCCTCCACGCTCCCACGACAGCACAACTCTCCCAAAAGGGGCATACACGCAAGCCATCAGCGGCCGGCTCTCTATCAAGGTGATGGGAGGAGCGTGGCCCTTCGCCTGTTGGGTCCGTGCTTGCCCTCCACCTCCTCACCTCTGGAACACTTCCCATGCTCTCCACCCCCGCTCCTTCCAGCTTACCCTCTCTCTGTCTCCTCCCGCACAGCACGAGCAGTTCAAGCGGTGGCGGGACTTACCAAGCAAAGTGGCGGAGGGCGCGTGGCCCTTCTCCTGTGGGGCCCACACCAGTCTACAGGGAGAAAAGAGGGCCACGCTTGCTGCACGCGAGTCCAACCTCTCCTCCTCTCCTCCCACACCTCCTCCCCTCCCTCCTCCCCCATTCCCTGAATTCCCTTCACAGCAGGAGCAGTTCAAGCGAGAGCGACTTCCCAGCCTAGGTAGTGGAGGGGTGTGTGGCCCTTCTCCTGTGAAGCACCCTGGCGACTTCCCTTGCTCTCCACCACCTCTCCGTCACTTCACTTCCCTTCTCTCTCTTCCCCTCCTTCCCCGCATTGTGCGAGCACTTCAACTGGAAAGAGGACTTGTGAGTCAAGGTGGCAGAAGGCGCATGGTTGTCCTCCTGTGAAGCAGCTGGGCAACTACCCATCTCCTTCCCCTCACCCCTCTCTCTCCACGCATGGCTATCCACCCATCTCCTTCCCCTCACCCCTCTCTCTCCACCCCCTCTCCTTCACTCTCACTCTCTCCTCCGCTCCTTCCCCGCACAGCACGAGCAGTTCAACCGGCGGGGGGACTTCCCAGCCAAGGTGGCAGAGGGCGCGTGGCCCTTTTAATATGCGCGCGCCAGCCATGCCAGCGGCATCGCGCTGCCCTATGGCATCTACAGCCACACCAATTCACTTTCTCCTCCCCCATGATCCCTCCGCACAGCACAAGCAGTTCAAGAGGAAAGGTGATTTCCCAGCCAAGGTGGCGGAGGGCGCGTGGCCCTTCTCCTGTGCGCGCGCCAGCCATGCCAACGGCATCGCCCTGCCCTATGGCATCTACAGCCATGGCGCACGCGTGCTCTGTGCTGGGGGGGACGAGGAGCGGGAAGGAGGGGAGGCGGGGGAGGGGGACGAGGTGAATGGGGGCGGGGCTGTGGTGATGGCGCAGCTCCAGGTGGGGGGAGGCAGGCAGGAGGGCAGGGGTGAGGGCAAGGGGGAGGGCAGGGGAAAGGGTGTGGGGGAGGGGAAGGGGGAGGGCGAGGAGGGTGAGCGTGATGACAAGGGGCGTGGGCAGGGCAACATGGGAGGGGGGTCGGTGCGGCGTGCAGTGCTACTCTCAGCCAACGTGTGCTTCATGGAAGGTACGCACAGTGCTGCTGTTTGGGAAGTGAGACGGACGCACGGCGAGTGTGAATAATTGCGTGAGATGTGATTCTGCAACCTTGGCACTGTGCGCACAGTGCGCCGCAGTAAGCCATAGATCTGCATGCAAGCAGCTAGTCTTGTCCACCACGTGCTCCAATCATCTCACCCCGCTTTGATCTCGCTCTCACCACCCACGTTTGATTGAGTAACTCGCCTGCTTCCCTCTCCCTCCTCTCTCACCCATCTCCTCTCCTCTGCCTCCATTGCCTCTGCCTCACAGGCCCCAGCGCACAGCTCAACGTGGCCTTTTCGGAAGCTTCCTTGTCGCTGAGGCAAGACGACACTGTCCTACCAACAGACATGCACAACAAGTCGCACACTAGTGGCAGTGCCGCCAGCTACCAAGCTACTGACGGAACCACAAGCCCTTCCAGCCAATCCCTGCATGACACGTGGGCCAGCCCTCACTGGAAGACTCCTCTGCCGACCCACCTGCCTGCCTCCCTCCCCTCTCTCCCTCCCAAGCCTCTCTATGGAGTTCCCCACTACATCTATGCTGACCTCTATGCTACACCTCTTCCTGAGCACCCCAACAAGAGGCTGGAAACCCAGAACATGGAGGTATTTTCAGGGTACTTGGCAGGGATACCCGAGGCCCAGCAAAACAAGTATGGTGTTTGGGCACTGCCTAGGGGCGTGGTGGTGGCTATGCCGTCCCCCTTAGAGCCAATGCTCAGCCGCGAGGGGGGAGGAGAAGGGGAGGAGTTTTGGTTGGTTGTGACGTATGTGAGGGGGGGAGGGGAAGGGGTGCAGGGTGGTGGTGGTGATGGAATTCGTGAGGAGCGAGGAGGGGAGGAATTGGGTGTAGGTGAAGGAGAGGAGGACCTGAGGGATGGGCTTGAGGATACAGGGTACATGGCAGAAGGAGAGTGGAAGGTGCAGCAGGTGGTGATAGCGTATGATGCACAGGGGCAGTTTGACTATGTGAAGCACACCAGGTTCATGTGATTCAGCTTGACTCCATAAATGTGGAACATGCTAGATTCTTACATTCACGTGTTGCTCCAGTGTAAGGGGTTTGTTACATCATGAACAATGTCAGGATTTATGGTCATTCCTGTCTTGACACTTATGTCACAAAGCGGAGGTACCGCACTTGACACTTGGTGACAAAGCGGAGGTTCCCGTTAGAAATGTTTTAACAAGGCGGTTCAATTCGTTACAGAGCGGTACCTCGCTTTCTGACACAAATGTCAAGACAGAAATGTACCCTTATTTCTCTCCGTATGCTACAACGTTTCAACAATATCTGAAGCCCTTACTTGAAAAAATAAGTTCTGGACTCTCCTTTGGCTCAAGCCATGCGAAATCATAAGCCAGGTTACTTCTCTCATCTCAACGGTGTCTTATCAGAAAAAGATTCAGAGAGAAAATACAATCATTTACTAGTACTTCACACTTTACAACCTAAGTTGCTTGCGGGCGCGCTGCTTACTTCGCAGAAGAATGTACACTACTGGGCCACCGTGTGAGAGGGCTAATAATTGAGGTATATCACCGGCTGATATGACTGCTGTTTATCGTCGCAACTCGCGAGCCCAAGACCGCGAGAGCCATCTTCAGCTTGTTTCCACCTTGGGAGCTGGAGGCGCAGCGCTTTTGCTCATTCTTCTCTTCGCTAATTGTTTCTGCAGGAAAAAAAAAAAAAAAAAAAAAAAAAAACACACACACACACACACACACACACACACACACACACACACACACACACACACACAAGTGCAGGGGGGAACCGCAACGTGGATTAGTTTGTGATAGGCGAATCAAGAGCGAAAGGTAAAAGCACGATCATAAAGCACGATCTCCAATGGGTACGGCTCTAATCCACGCAACCTCCTAGTCCACCAAGGGAAACAACCACCACCGCCACATCATCGCAATATAGAAAAGAGTCGGGAGTGCGATTCACTCACCGCCTGCACGATCCTGGTGTGCGCCATATAGCTCCCGCCGAACACGACCGTGGAGACTCCACCAAGAATGCCGACGGTGGCGGTAGCCAGGCTCCAGGCGTATGCGATCATGATGCCTCGGAATACGAGTAGAGCAGCAGCAAATTCTCAATCGGAAGGTGAAAAGACGCAGGTTCTTAGGTCGAAGGTGTAGTGAGGATCAGAAGAGCTTGTATTGCGGCTAGGCAGGGTAACTTAAGTAGTGGGAAAAGCTGCTGAAAAACTGCGAGAGAATTTTGGTTGCGAGAGTTATGAATGTCGAGTTGTCTCAAATACTCTTTCGCACCACACACCCTTCGGCGATGCGCGATTCCGTTTGTGAAACATTCAGGTTTGCGGGGAATGAAGCTAGCCAATCAAGCGTGGCATTGCTGCCACTGCCACGAAAGCGCCGCGCAACGGGACGGGAGCCAACAAGGCGGGGCCGAACCGAACTCTTCCTCCAGTGCCAGCGCGCCTGGTTAGGAGGGATGGCGGGGCTGGGGGAAGTGATTTTGGTGATGCTTCCGCCACCCGCTGCCAGCCCGTCCCTGTGCTGGAACGAAGCGCGCAGGCAGCGCGACACGGAATGCGAATAGAGGGGGACCACATTGCACCGGAATGTGCGCTGGAAGCAGCACATCCCCGATTGCAAATGGCGTGCCAGCTCGTCGCCTCACTGTGCTGCCGTGGCAGCAACTTTTCGGGGCAGTGCTGGATCTGGGGGATGCACCCCTGGCCACAAGCTTTTGATGTTCGCGCACAGGTGTAGTATTTGGATGACATGGACCAAAAAGCAAATGTGTCATCTGTGGAGATCCGAGTTTCAGTACGTCGGACGTGGCTCCTCCGTGGACATTGTCTCCTCGACTCTATCGAGCAAACGAGTACGTTCGCGTCCAGCGTGGAATTTTCACCACTGACCGACAAGTCGTGAGCTTTGCACGTGGCATAATCATAGTACCAAAGCACACGCATATCCTGCCGATCCGCACCGCAAGTACGCGAAGCTGCCGCATAGTGAGGTGGTACTCCACGCGAGAGAACTTGCTTACTAGGAAAAGTCTTGATATCGAGTTGGGTCCACAAAACCTTCAGCGAACCATTGTAAATAAACACATTTCCATTATTTATTGTAGTAATTAAATTCCACTTGCCCCTTATTCATTTGTATGGTCATTCACCCGGTCTGCAGCATATGAGCACATTGATGCTTCATAGAGCTGATGTTGGCATAATACATGAGATTGAGAGAAGATTGTGCATTCTCAGACCTGCAGTTAACGATGGTGCCTGCCACAGGTTCCTCTTCTGTAGTTGAAGCCTGCTACCAACTCATGCCATTTACGAAGTAGTCACCATCACCTGAAAGTACCAGTATTGAAAATACACTGGCTACTGGTTTGATATGAAAACATGCACATGACCATTGTTGGGAACAAACAGTCCTAAGCGCCTCTGTCGTGTCGAAACACCAAGACACAAGCGAAGCAGCGCATATCGAAGCACCAGCGAGTCAACCCTCGGAGGTTGATGTAACCACTGGAGGTTACGCAAAAGTCAAAGGTCAGCGACCTTTGACCTGACAAATGCAGCGCGACATCAAGGACACACAACTGACTCGACATTGAGCAATTGCCCGAGTCGCACTGTATCGAACCGCAACAGTAAAGTAGTTATAATTATGTCTCTTCATATTCTCTGTATTCATATATATATTCTTGTATCTATTTGCTTTAATCAACTTACTTTGCCCTCACATACTAGCGCAAGGTGGTTCAAAGACTTTACTCAAAACGCTTCCGCTTCTACATCACTTTACTCAGACTTTAACTCTACCAAAGATCCTAAAGGGCACTTAGCCCAACATGGTATGAGAGTAGGTTAGAGTTAAATTATTTCTCCTCAATACTTGATACACCAAGAAGATATGTCTACTAGAAAGGAGAGGAGCTCCTCCAACGGCTCTCCCGGTACTACTCCTACTCCACCTCCTGCCTCTGGCCTACAGACAGGGGAAGGGACAACAACGAGACCGGCAGCTGGGTCTACTGAAACACCCGCAAACCAAGGCGTGGGCTTCGATCCAAGCATGATGGAGAAATTCTTCTCCTTCATGTCCCTCTACGAGCAGCACCAGCAAGGAGGACCTGCGCAATCACACAACAGCAACAACAACGGAGCAACACCCATGAGTCTCGACGGCTCATCATATGCACGGGGAAACCAGCAACAACAGCCTACCTTTGTTGCCTATGAGCGCGCATCCATCAGCTTCATGCCACAACCACAGCCCTTACCTGGACAAGAAAAACAACTGGACGCACTACAAGTTCAGTCGCAGTTTGCACACGTTATGAAGATGCAGACGTCAAGACCTTTTGATGGAAATGATTTCTTTACCTGGTCGTTCGAGTTTGAGCTGATGATGGAAGGCGCGCAGATACTCGGGTTCTTCGACGGGACCCTGCCATATCCAACAAATGGCACACAGTACGAGAAGCAGCAGTACACCTATCAGTCAATGATGGCGTACACGATCCTACTCAGAAATATCACCCCGACTCAACAGCAGAACATAAGGACCTACCGAGGTTACGGTAACTCCGCGGAGCTCGCGTACAACCACCTGAAGAGCCTGTATCAAGCAACAGACAGTGTAAGTCAAAGTCGGTTAATGGCGCAACTGTCAACAGTCGCAATGAAACCAGGGGAGAAAAGACTGGCGTATATCAGTCGATGTCGCGAATTGCGCGACAAGCTTCTTCGATGCGGAGGGCCGATCTCTGAAGACGCCTTCGTGACAGTCATCATCGGCGGCCTCGGTCCTCAATGGCGCGCCACAAAGGCCATCCTCCGAGCTCACGGGAGAATCTCTCAAGCAGCGCTCTTCGCCCAAATCCATGCCGAGTAGCAAGACATGGACCTGCAAGAAGAACGACATAAAAGGAAGACATCAGCACCAGAGTTCGCGTTCCACACCCAGCGACGCTACAACAACAACAACAATCGGCAGCAACATCTGAAGCCAGTACCTCCGTTCTGCCACATTTGCAAAACTTCAGGCCATCCTTGTACGCTCTGCCCAAATGGACAACGCCAACTTCGTCCTTCAAGCAGCCAAGTCACTTCAACGCAAGCAAACCCGACAACTTCAGTCCACGTCTCAACAACTTCAACAGGACAACCTGCAAAAGAAGCAAGAAACATCGTCAGCTGCATGGCAAGGCTGAGTGACTCCTACACAACTGAGTCACCACCATATTACTCACCAGAAGAACAACTCGACAACAGTACGCCTCGCTGCGAGTCACTTCTACCAAACACGACGTATGCCGCCATCGCCCAAAGCGAGCCGTCCGGGAAGGACACATGGTTCTTGGACAGTTGCTGCGGACAACACATTTGCTCTTCAGGACGTTTCTTTTGTCAGTAGATATACACTGTGGATGCCCGATTGATCTTGGAGAGGGTTACAGGCGCGTTTGCCTGGGGGGTTATGGGCGCACTGACCCGCTACTTAACAAGCCCTTTTATCCCAATGGTCTAGTGGTTGGGATTCTGACATGGTATCAGAGCGGTCTCGGGTTCGATTCTCGGTGTATGCACATGTAGGCCGTTGCCGCCGTGCTTAGTCCTGGGCCTCCCAGTGTGGGGGGGTGTCATTCGATCTGCACTGTGGATGCCCGATTGATCCTGAAGAGGGTTACAGCAGCGTTCGCCTGGGGGGTTATGGGCGCACTGACCCGCTACTGAAACAAGCCCTTTTATCCCAATGGTCTAGTGGTTGGGATTCTGACATGGTATCAGAGCAATGGTCTCGGGTTTGAATCCCGGTGTATGCACTTCGGGCATCCCAGTGCGGGGGGGTGTCAGAGGTCCACTGGTGATCCCCGATCGATCCTAGGGGGGGTTACAGGCGCGTTTGCCAGGGGGGTTATGGGCGCACTGACGCGCTACTGAAACAAGCTCTTTTATCCCAATGGTATAGTGGTTGGGATTCTGACATCTTTCAAC